AGCTCATTTTAGCAATTGGCCCGCTTAAACCCGTCAGGCCCGCTCCACCCATTTGGCCCGTTTCACCCATTCAACCTGCTAGGCTATATCTTATTTCTTCAATTAACCCTTTTTTTTTTTTCATTTACAAGTAATGTACCCATTTTATCTCATCTTTTAAATATTATTACATAAAATCCCCTTAAACTTCAATTAAGATGAGATTAAAAAAAATCCTAATAGAAGGCCAAAATTGAAAAAAAAAAAAAAAAACTCAGCACAAAAAATAGAAAGAAGAACTGAAGAAGAAAGCTTAAGAGCAGAGTAGATCCTCACCTCCTTCCTCCATTGTCCTCCCTGCTCTCAACCACCAACGTCGGCAGCCCTTTGGACAACCTTCACGGCTCATATTCCTGAGCTTCCTCCACCGAATAGCAGCAGCATTGGTTCACCGAACGGAGCAGCAATAAGGGTTCACCGAATGGAGCAACAGCAAGAACAGAGCAGCATTAGCAGAGCAGATTTGCATCTACTGTCCACCACCACCGCCAACAGCCTCTTCCATCCCTTTCACGGCTCATCTTCCTTGCCTTCCTCCACTGAACAACAGTAGCACTCCTTCACTGAATAGAGCATGAATAGGAATAGAGCATGAATAGGAACAGAGCAACAACGGGAGAACAGATCTGCATCTGCTTTAAAGTTTAAACCACCACCGTCAACAACCAATAGCTTCTCCTTCACTGAACAGAGCAGCAGCACCAAACAAAGTAGCAACATCAAATAGAGTAGCATCATCGACCTTCCTCTCCTTCCCAGTGGGCAGAAACAACCTCTCTTTCAGCCATCAAATAGAGCAGCCATCGAATAAGGCGGCAGCACCTTCCTTTGCTTCATGCACTAAACTGAGCAACAACAGCGAAATAGATCCTCTTCTTCGCAGCATAACAGAGTAGCATTTGTTTTTTAGTGGATAAGAATTTATATGATCGTTAATTGTTTATAGGAATTAATTTTTTATTAATCCATATATATATAAGATTTGGAAATATATATATATAGGTAATTCATTGATGTTGTGATGTTTAAATCAATATATGTGATTGCTGTGATGCTTGTTTGAGACTTTATTATGGATTTGGTTTGAAAATTATTTTTTATATTATTTTGTAGTGAATTTGTGGATTTGATTTAAGACTTTCTTTTATATTTAAGATTTATTTTGTAGCGAATTTAGTTTAAGATTGAGTTGTTTTTTATTATCATAATTGAAGAATTTATCTTGCATTATAATTTAATATTTATTAGTTTAGATCTTAAAAATTATATGTATTTAATTAAATTTATTATTTTAAATGACCTAAATGATGATTTTCAAGTTGATCTTATGATAACTATTTCTTAAGAATAAAATGAAAGTAATATACAATAGTAGAACTTAATAAATATGTAAAAAAAAGTTTTTTTTTAGTTGACTGGTTGGATCAATTGGGTGAACCGGTTCAACCAGACCTGGTGGCCAAACTGGGTCAGCTATCGGGCCGAGCCCAAAAACACTGTTAATTTGACACATTAGATTTGTGTGTTTCACCTAATTAGTAGCTTGATGATGACATATTAACCATTTGATATCCATTCAATCCTCTTATAATTGTTGTATCATTACTTGACTGTATTGACATGCATGGGAATAGCTGTTGTAATTAAATATCAACATTAAAAATATTAACATGATATATATGAAATTTATTTTTTAATGGCTCTACAAATTTTAGGATATCTAAGGATGTCTTCTTATTTTTGTTGTTTAGAAATGCATGCAAGCATGTATATGTGGCATTATAATTATTGTGTTATTTATGAGCATTAATATGCACTATTAATATATAATTAACTGGTGATTTTTAATGGTAAATAATTATGTGCATTTAATTGACCATATTATTGAATTCTTTAAGAAAACAAGTGAAAACTTTGAGAACCAAATGGAAAAAGTCTAGAGAAAAGAGCTAGCCAATTTGGTCTATGCAATAATTTTTTTAAAAAATAGACATGAAATTTAGGTTGATATATCTCAAAAATGTAAATTAAGTTTTTTAAGTTTATGTGACCGAAGAATCATTTATAGTGATAAAATATAAGATGATCTAATATGCTCTTATGAAAATTTTGTGAGAAAAAGAGTTTTTATATAAACTCAACTATTTGAAAAATGTTAAAATTACTGCTTTCAATATGGGGGATTATGATACCCCTATTGTTTTTGGACCCGGCTCAGTAGTTGACTCGTTTTGGTTACCGAATCCGATTCAATCAGTTGGATCGGTTTGTTGACCAATCTAACTAGTCAACTAAAAAAACACTTTCTTTTTTTTTTTACATTTTTATTAGATTTTACTTTTGTATATTACTTTTATTCTATTATTAAGAAATAGTCATCATAAGATCAACTTGAAAATCATCATTTAAGCCATTTAAAATAATAAATTTAATCAAATACATATAATTTTTAAGATTTAAACTAACAAATAGTAAAATACATAATATAAAATAAGTTTATCAAGCATGATAATAAGGAAGAACTCAATTTTAAACTAAATTTACTACAAAATAAGTCTTAAATATAAAAGAAAGTCTCAAACCAAATCCACAACTTCAATACAGAATAAGTCTTGAATATATATATATATAAAGTCTCAAACCAAATTCATAATAAAGGCAAATGTCAAATAGATGAAGCATCATTACTAATTCATTTATTTTGGCCTAAATTAGGAGCATTTTCATCAAAGTAAGCATGTAGCTCCTAGAAGTCATGCTTACTATCACTATCTTCAAATCCATCACCAATTGCTTTTAATTCAATCCCTTCACTAGAACCACCAACTTCCTCACCAACTTGCTCTTCCTTAATACCTTCAAATTGAAATTATAGAATCATACAATAAAAACAAATGTAAGAAATAAGTCTTAATGATCTGTTTATTAAAAGATAGAATGGTATAATGTATTAAAAATTAAATTAAGTAATCACTAACTTTCTTTTTGATTTACATGATAAATTGGAGTTGTTCCTTCATTATAAATCATATTCTCTGATTCGTCATAATTAAGAATTGGAGAATCATCTTCTTCCATTATCAAACAATCAACATTGTCTATGCTCTCATAATCAATAAGATCAAAGCAAGTCTTCTTCTTTCTATCAATCCTATAATCCAAGATTTTTAGAGATTAGAAAAAGATTTAATTAATAAAGTTTAAGCAGAAAAAAAAACTATAATTCAAATAAAAAAAAGATAAAATACATATTTTTCAAATGTAAATTGTAATACACATAGACAAAATTATTTAATATTTGATGCTCTAATCTATTTCTTTTCTTGGTGTGTATCCTTTCAAAAGCACTTCAATTTCTTTCACAACCTGAGGATGATGACGTTTGGCTCAATGGTTTAATAGCCAAATTTTTAAGAGTTGGAGCACTATATCCAAAATATTTCCACCATTCATCTATCAAGAAGATAAGAGATATATAAAATGTTAAAAACTTTATAATCAAAAATATTTCTCATAAAAAAAGTATTAAAATTATAAATTAAAATTTAGAATCTTACCAGGTTTCATATCTTTTGAGGGTTCAAGTGCACTTGGACAAGCAAAGCTCTCCAATCTCTTCTCAAACAACTCACATTCATACAATATTTTGTTTCTCAAGAAGGAATTTTTACATCCACAACATCCATAAACCCTTTCATAACTTATTGCTTGGTACAAAAATGTTCTTTATCATAAAAGAAAGAAGGGTTCAAGTAACAGGTAGCAGCATGGATACTTTGACGAAGTTGCCTATCCCACCTATCCCACCTTTCCTTCATAATTTTTGCATAGGGCTTGTATAAAGACTTTCTATTCAACATAGTCTTAATTGCCTTTCTATCCCTATACATGCCATCAGAGACAAAACCAAGAGAAGACCTTTCATCACCATCAACAATTCTAAGCAAGTACATAAGGGGTGCCACAATTTTCACAACAAGTTGACAATTACTTCAAAATTTGTTATCTAAGACAACAGCAATAACATCTTTTACCTTTGGATCTTTGTAGTATCTAGACTCTCTAAATTCCAAACTACTAACAAATGCTTGCAAATCATGCTTGTGGTCAAGAATGCTTTTCAATGCAATGAATGTAGTAGCAAAATGTGTGGTCTTGGTTGTATAATTTCAATCCACCCTTCTCTTTTTCTTAGCCAAGCTAAGAGAAAAGCATAATTGTATACAAATTTAGTCACCAATTATGCACTATTTGCTAATTTATTCACATCATCGAACTTGCTAATATCATTTAATATCAAATTCAAGTAATGCATAGCACAAGGAGACCAAAGGATAGTTGGATATATGACATTTAACATTTTTCTAGCTTTCTTATAATTAGCTGCATTATCGATGACCAAATAAACAACATTATTAGCACCAACATAGTCAACCAATTCTTTAAACAAATTGCAAAGCATGCTAACATCTTTAATCACATCAGAAGCATCAACATATTTCACAAAGATTACCCCTCTAGGACAATAAACAAAAAAATTAATCAATTGTCTATTTTTTTTTTATCTTGTCAACCATCACCCATAATTATACAACCAGTTTTTTCCTAAACTTTCTTATAAGAATCAATTAACTGAACCTCCTTTTTTAAAATCTCTTAAAAGACTAATTCTCGCAGTATGATAAGTTGGTTCTTTATAATTAGGACCAATTTCAGCAATAGCATCAATCATTAGCTGAAAATATGGAGAATTAATGGCATTTATAAGAATGCAACTATCGGAGAAGAACCAAGTAACAACTAAATTAGCTTGATGGATATCTTTTATACCTACCATTGCACTTCTAATTGATGGTTGAGATCCAAGAGTTGTCCTTGGGGCGAAATAATTATGCAACCCACTTGCATTTCTTTTTTTACTATTTTCTATAATAGTTGCTATTCCTTTTCCTTTAACTTGTAAAGGTGGAGTAGGAATCTCTTGCAAATCAATATCACCAAATGGATTATCTTCCCATCGATCTTTAGCTTGCTTCCTAATTTCTTCAAATTCCTTCAAACTTTCTTGCATTCGGAAACGAACATCATGAGGCACCCTATCAGATTTTTCACTTCTCCACCCTTTCTAGTAAGGTGATGTTTTTATTCTATTTATTCCTCCTTTTCTGATAAGTTTTTAGCAATGCAAGCATTGTAATGTTTTTTTCGTGCCTTCAACTTCAACACAATGCTCTCATATGATATTAGCTTTTCCTCTACATGATTGCTATGATTGTGATTAAATAGATGCAGCAGTTGAATTTTGTCTAGAAGATGACATTTTCCTACAATTTACACAACTATACAAAATTATTAACCTCCAACTCCATTAATCCAATCCAACTATCATAAATAACAATTTGTTTGAATTGAAGATGTAATATTAAAATTTAAAATCAAAGCATAGCAAATTAGGAAAAAAATAAAATCAAGCATGACAAATTAGGATATTCATAAATAATTTTTCCAAGTCTTACACAAATACTAATTAATAAAGAATTAATTTCTATCAATAATTAACAAACTTGTAGAATATGTAAATTTGAAAATGAAATTCAATGTAAAGCTAAAAATCTTATAGCCAACAAGAGGGGAGAAGGTTTGCTCACCTTACTAAAAACAGAACAAGAATTGAAAATCTGTTCTGTCGATGGAAGACGGAGAAGAAAGTGAGCACCAAAGGGCTAAGGTCAGGGAGGCAGTTCTGGAGCCATTGACGAAGGCAGTTGAGATTGGGGAGGCAGCTTAGATCAGGGAGGCGGCTGAGATTAGGGAGGTGACTAAAATTGGGGAGGCAGTTGGCTAACGATGGTGGCTGTTTGTCACTTCACCTACTTTATTTTGTTTTTGCTTTTTGCTTTTGGATTTTGCTTTGCAC